TCCGTCTGGAACCTCAACGGCCTTATACTTAACACAGTACTCAAGATGTACACGGAAGTAGTCCTGACAATGCCACCTATGGGGCGGAGACACGGACTATGTACCCAAATTAAGCCAGGAAATACAATCAATTCCGTCTGAGCAGTCTCCGGAGAATAGTAAACTTGGGATGGCAGCACAGAATACCCAACATGGAGGTGCTGGAACGGACCGGAATCATTGGCATCCACACCATGCTGAGGCAACTGTAAGAGTGCTAGCGCGGCCACCTCGTGAAGATGGCGATGGTGGATTACCTAAATGAATTTTCTACGTTGATGTCGCTACGAGTGCTAATCGATAAGAAAAACAAAAACGATGCTATAAAGCCACCCTATGAACTTCCCTTAAGGAGCTCCATATCGGTCAGGCGACCTGGGAGGATCTAGAAAAGTGCAGTAAAGATTTCAGCAGCAACATACGAAGCCAGTCGGATCACCGGTGCCAAAACCAACGGGGCGGCCTGCAGGTCGCAAGCACCTCCTACCCGCAACACAACCACCCAAACCTTCCCACTGGGTCTCCGTTTTCAGCGGATGTTCTGCATGCAGATCGGTCTCGTCGGACATCTGCAAACCAACTAAGGACACCGCAACCACTTGCACCGTCGCAACTGCTATAAACCTCAAGACGACGATGGCCACCACCTCCACCAGCGATGAGAACGCTCCCGTTACCCCGCCGCCACCGCCACCATCTATCCCAATCATAACTACCACAACCTCCGCGGCGACAGCTACCACTCTTCCTACTCTCACCACCTCTGTGACCATCCTAGACGTCCAGCCAGGTACCAGCGTTACTACCTCTGCGGCCACCACCAGCAATGCGGACTCAGTTCCAACGTGTCCTAATTGCGATCGCACCTCACTCATGGACCTGATCGCTAATTTGCGAATCCGTGCCATTGAGACCGATGAACCAATCCCAGGAGCCCCGTCATGCATCCTACTCACCCGCCAAAACTGCCCACACTGCCCAGGCACATTCACTCACCGTATGGGTCAATTCGGCCCAATTAGCATCCCCGACAATGGAGTTTACCGTAATTTCGACATGTCAGACCCACCTTGCACGTCCCACAACCCTCCAACTTCCAGTTCTGCCAACTCTCCCTCCGCCATTGTCGCCGCCACTAGTAGCATCGCCATTGCAACCAAATCAACCATTCCCAACCTACCCTTCCCAGGCTGTCATTGCAGTCGCACATCACGCATCGACCTGGTCAGTCACTTTCGAATCCATCGCGCTGAGACTGGCGAACTAGTGCCAGGGACACCAGTACACACTCGCCTCACTCTCCTTCACTGCCTGTGCTGGTCAAGAATATTCAGCTGCCGCATGGGTCTGCCCGACCACATGTTACTCCATGTAAATTTGCGGCAAACCACTCCAGACAAAACTCAACCAATGTATACTTTACACCGGAACCCGTCACACATCGCCCACCACAGGTACCGAATGGGCATGTGGGAGGCGTGTATTTTAGCTCCTTCCCCATGTGGGCTGTATGGTACTTTAAGGCATATGAGATCCGAGCAGCTCATCCCCTTTGTGTCAAGACCTGGTGTGTTGTCCGGGGGCCAGGTAGCGTGCGGCGATGCTCAGACGAGCTATATCAGCTCTGTCAGCCACTTGCCACCCGTCTCAGCCCCAATCGCCGCAGACAATCGACTGGTGCACGGGACAAGGAAGAGAGAGTGGACTCGATGCTGGGGACGCCATCCCTACGGCATTTCAACGCATTCTTCTCGATCAATAAATCTAACGCGCGTAAACCGTGGCTTGGGACGTTCGCAACTGACGAGATAACTCGGTTCTACTCATAGGACGGAAAGTCAGATCGAGATGACCCCTTCTTAATGTGACCTCTTTAACACTCTCATTGAGACGGGATCCTATCCGTCTTTCTTATTTCGGTGAAAACCTGGTCTACCGTGAGCGGAACAGGCATGTGTGGCACTCGTAGGTGGGCCGCTTAGCTCTGCTAGCCACTGCGCCTGATCTCACTTCCGACCTTCTTGGCTGTCCTGACAACGGGGATGAGGGCTGAGGGAGGTTAGAGTGTAGTGGATGCAGCGAAAGCCTATCATCAGTATGGACTGCCGTATGCGACCGTAAATCTCGTAATAGTTTGTCGCTACTTTTCGAAAATGCACGTACGAAAATCTATGTTTTTTTTAGTTAGAATGCCATGCTAACAATAAAACAACAGTTTTTTGAAAGTGTTAAAATACTTTGCCATGAAAAAATAGCGAGGTAGTTATTTAGCTCAGTCTCAGTGTCCTCCCACCCCTGCACATCGCTGTCAAGTTGGAAATGACCAGGTCAACAGTTCACGGCATTTTCGACCGTTATAAGAAGTTCGGCCGCATCGACAGGAAGCCTGGTGATGGAAAAACAAGAAAGTTCGAACTCCTCGTCTTATATAGTCTGTCCCGGATCGTACTCGTTATAATCCAGTCAGTAATATGAGGAAGATGACCTTGGAGCTTGAGGTTTCGGAGCACACGGTCAGGAATGTCGTGAAAAGGGACCTGAAGGCTAGGTCAAGGGTTAGGACCAAGAAGCATCTCGTTACTGAGGCTGTGAAAGAAGAGAGACTCGAAAGAAGAGAATCTTAAACCTCCTCAAGAAAGGATCACAGACGGTGTTCTGCTCCAATGAAAGACTCCTCACGGTCGATTCGGTGTCCGACAGTCGGACAGATCGCTACGTAAGCCTTCTGAAGCACAAAGAGGTACCTGAGAATGCTAAATACAAGTTTCAGAGCAAACATCCCGCGTCTGTGATGGTTTTTGGCCTGATTGCCTCAGACGGCAAAGTCATGCTCCCTGTGTTCATCAAGGCGGGGGTCAGAGTGAACACAGACTTGTACCTGAATGTTCATCAGAAGCATGTCATGCCTTCGATAGATTCTATCTATACTCTAGACGGCAATGTGGTCTTTCAGCAAGATGTTGCGGCCGCCCCTCTTAGGTCATGGAAGGCGCAGAAGCGGCTAGAAGACCACATGCCTTATTTCTGGCACAAGGATATGTGGCCACCTTCCCCTAACAAGCGTCATGACAGCATTGAGGCCCTGAAGGTATCCAGTGCTAGAGAGTGGAACAAGATGTCACCGGAGTACATCAGGAACACGTGCGCCACGTTCAGAACAAGAATAGAAGAAGTCATTGCTAACAATGGATCTCCTATTGAATAGTTCCCTACTAATATGAATTTTGAGTCTTTTAGGAAAAAAACATTTTTTTTCCAGTTACTTATTCTTGATATGGGTTAGGCTGAAGGTTAGATCACTCAAATTACGAAATTAACGGTCGCGTAGGGTAATTTGCGCTCAGGTCATATGCCTGCGCCAACCACGTTGTGAAGCACATGGCAGATATTTTTGGTAACAACGGTCTAATCGCCACCGTATCATGCGTGGTAATTGCCAGCAGCATGTCTGTAAGAAGGCGTCCTCTTACTGGCAAATTCACTCAATGTCCATCCAACCGCATCGAAGAGTTCCGATCGGCTATACATCTGGAAGATGATTCATAGCCCACGACACCCCGTACACCTCGATCGAGGAATTCACCATTCAGCTGACAGTCAGCAACGTAAGGTTGGAGATGGGATCAGGCAGGACTGCTAAAGCCTACGGATTTGATTGCCGCGGGAATTATGCACCGAGAAGTTGTGAGAGCTGCTTCTAATGCAAAATGCTGGTAATAGTCCAGTCACACTGAGAATAATCTGCACAATTTTGGAATTCGTATATAACGCGTCCCCGATGACAATTGTGTTAACAGAAAAAGACGTGATACTCAACTGTACGTGTCAAAAGGAGAAGACGTCGCAGTAACTATCGCAGTAAGGGTGTCGGCTGGAGAAATGCACACCAGCTCAGTAATTTTGAAAGTAAAAATACTCCCCACCGTAATTGACGAGGTCAAATGAGGAAGGTCATTGCTTTGATAGGACCCCGGCGGGTCTTTAATGAGAATTATCTAATTATTTCGCAGCGTCCCCAGTAAATCAAATTTTGATATTTATTGGCTGGATTTCCTTCGATGAAAAAAAATGCTAAACGTATTCAGTATCTTTCCGCTCAGCAAAGCTCAGGAGACAAAAGTAGCAATAATCTAATCCAGGCCTCAGGAACACTTTACAGATATGGGTTCGAATTCCATTAATTTGCGCATTTCGATGGACAAAGCAGGTAAATCTACTACTTGACAACTCCTCTCAGAAGGAAAGAAAAGATTTCCAACAACAGGAATACCCATAATTCGACCTTCCCACGGCTAGATGCTCCTCACCGCCATAGGGGATGTGTGCACTCTTGAGTTGCAAGCGAATTTGCCTATGGTAAAGCAAATTGGGATGCCTTTTCCTTTCTTCCCACACTCACCGCTTTCCGATCGCAAGAGTGTTGTTCGTAGGCATAGATGTATAGTGACTGGAAAAACTCAACAGTGTGTGCAGGCGTGCTGTAAACGACCTGATCATTAACTCCACATGTACCGGTCCTGATTCAATGAGGTTTTCCGGTTTCATACATCTTATCTTTTCAGTTGGCCACTCTCCAACGCACGATTGTCAGCGTATCGTGAAAAGTCCAGAGGGCATTTAGGGTGTTTATAGTGTGCTACAAGTAGTTGGGTTTGAATGTGATCGAATTATTTCTCTCAGTCTTCCCTCTACCGTATACCAGTGGTTTGTCCAACTCACTGACTAGGAATGAGATTGGGCACAGTAGCTGGCATAACGTGAAGTCTCCGTGTAACGCGTACATGCACGAGTTAGGAGCTGACTGAAGTGAGAGATATCATATAGCCAACTTAAGGAGCCATTGCAGCCTAACGCCACATCCAGAAGCGGATTGCGCTTTCTCGTCGACTGCCAACCTTCCAAGCCATTACTCCTAGTGTGTCAGCTTTATGACCCTGAAAGGGACATCGATTTTCCGTGGAGACGGATTTCCCAAGACCACTCCCATTCTCTCCCCCATCTCCATATGTTAAAGGTCCGTCCAAACCTTTCAGCTGTCTGAGAAGGAGATTTAGCGCAGTGGCTGTCGTAATGTACACCTCCAGTAAACGCATGCCACACACATATAAGGTTCACTGCAACATCATCGCAGTCGGTTTGGTGAGTCACCGGCGTATACGCACAGGCCCATTCAGTTTCAGTAAGGAGCGGTATATCCGTATGCAGCGCAGAAAGTGTTTGAGTCAGAATAAAGACCTGGAAGCTTCTAGTGTCTCACAATTTATGCCGTTTACCGTAGACCAAGGACGAATTCCAGCGAGGACGAAACACTTTAATTAGAATTATCAAATAAATTATCTGGCCGGCCTGGTGTTCTGACTTCGTGACTTGAACGAGTTGGTAATCAACTGGAGTATGACCCCTGTGTGCGCCACATATCGGCCACTAATAAACGTCTCGTCACGTGAAAAGTTTCAACTGTTTTTACTCTTTATTTTATGTCTTCTACCAACACTTGGAACGGATGATAATCAGGTAAGAAAAACCCCAGGTGATTTCCGTAAAATAATTGTTCACCCTAATCGGCTGGATTAATCTCTAAGTGCTTACCCTGATAACACGTGCCCCGTCCAAGGGGCATGTTTATAATCTAATCGATTGACAGTGAGACGCGTTTTGGTCGAAATGTGGCGTGAGTTCGCTATCTATGTAGGCCACCCTGTAGAAATAATGCTGCGAATAAACTACTTCCTGTATTTTTTGAGGACGGGGGTGGCCAACGGTAGGACTTCTAACAGGTGACTTTTAATGCCTCCGAAGAGTATCAGAAGGATCAGAGAGGTTTTATTTCTTAGATTCCGACGAGGTTACTCCCAAATTTCTCCAAAAAATGGGTCCAAGAACTTGATAAGCACCCGTAAGTCCCCTTTTTAAGTTCATTCCATACTGGAAATCGCCCCTTAGATTTGACACTTTCGTACATTACGACTTCCATGAAGTCAGTGGTCCGACGGCTAATACAAAATCACAAAAGCATGTAAAAAACAAAAGGAAGGAGCCGTAAACATCCATGAAAACTGGGAATTGATGACCAGTTCTCAATATGGTTGTCGGTTTGCTGAACCCCGCCAGTCGTTGGAGTCGAGCAATAATCAGAAGACGAGGGCACCGAAAATCCATGAGAAAAATGCCTGCTAATCAAGTAGTCACTTTTTACAGAGTGTAGTTACTGCATGCAGCTGAAAGGAAGTTTGTTTGAAAGCCGGCATCCTGAGGTTACTGAATTATTATAAACTTATGCTGCACAAGAATGAGTTCAACGATCCTACCTAATTAATCTTTTCGAAATAAAAACGCATTTCGGAATTTCGGTTGGCATTTCATGAGTTAGCCCACCTACTGTAGCATCGACGCAGAGCTCAGAAAAATCCAGGACTTCCTTCGCGAAAACGGGTATCCTGACAGGTTTATTGCAAAGAACATCTCCAAACGACCGATCAAACCGGCAATACTGACCGCCGAAAAGAAAACTTTGTTCCTCAAAGTCCCTTTTCAAGGGGACGCTGCGGTGAACTCCTAAGGAGACGCCTTGATCAAGCTGTCCCGCGAACCTCCGCAGCGGCAAGGGTTCAAATATCATTCTCTACTAACACTATTTTACGCGGAGAAGGTAAGGATAAGTTGCCACCGCAGACCACCTCAATGTGCACGTATTCCTTCACTTGCTCCTGTGGAGCAGGTTATATTGGTCGCACAAGTTGACGCTTATCCATGAGAATACGGGAACACCTCCCGGCATGGCTGGGAAAAGGCGAAACTAGGAGCATAAGCAGCGCCATTCTCGCGTATATTGTCTATTCCGGACATCGTGTGGACCCCAAACGGAGCTTTTCGTGTGATTTATATGGTCCCATCGAGCTACCCTAAGCTAGTAGGCCAGTGCGCGTTAGCGACAGCAGAAGCGGCCGCCATTAGGTTACGAAAGCCAATCTCATGCGCACAGAAGAACCACATTCAGGCTCCGCGCCTACAGCGGTCGAAGGTCGACTAACGCTGC